GTTTGCTTCTTTCAAATGTTCTAACTCCGTTGTATCGAGTGCCTGAAAGGGGATCCATTTGCCATGCAACCTGTGGTGCAAACTTTAACATGAAGCAATGTAGGGCTTTTCTCTCACCTTTACGATGCTTGTATATAAACGTCGAATATCGGTCAATCGCGCCCTCTCCTTACACTGAGGGCACGAAGCATTTTTTGTGTTTCGCCGTATCCATCTTTCAATACAGGACTGCCCAAACAAATGTCCGCATTTCAAGCACACGACGCTGAAAACATAAACTAATTATTTACAAAATCTCAATCGATCACCGCTGAAATGTCAAAAAATACCATTCCCAGATGCACACTTCACTTATATATCTGTTGAAAGTTAAAAAAGAAAATATCAGGAGAAAAAGGAAACAAGGAAGAAGAAAAAAAGGATATTAAAATAGGTAAGGAGTATAAAGAAATATCTGTTATAGATAAGAAATGTTTCGGTCCATTAAGTCGTATACATTTCTTACCGTTACCACAATTGAACCTCGTCAGTTGTACCTTGTGCAATTGTACCTTGTGCAATTGTACAATTGTACGTTGTGCTACTACTAAAATCTCCCAATTTATTTAACTTTTTGTAACGATGCTCCAGTGCTCGGCTCGCATGGACGGTGCTTGGAGAAAAGGTGCTAGTCAAGAGAGCCATATTCAAAAGCCACTGAATCTTAATTCCTTCCCGATGCCTGACCTCGCAGTACTTGACAGAATTTTTCGCCTTCTCATATATTTTTCGCCTTTGCTTAGTATTCCCGCCCTTTGCTTAGTATAAGCTATCTGGGCAAGCAATTTATGCAATCGTAGCAGTGAACGCGTAAGCAACTTACCGGTGAGGACCCGATGTAGTATACGCTTCGAAGCAAATTGCGCAACTTCCAACTTCCGCAGCAAGCTCATCGCTTTCTGAAATCGCAAGCGTTTAACACGGAACGCGCGAAATTGTCGCTCTTCGCTAAAAGAAGCCAGAGAAACGCTTAAGCGCTTCCAAAATCAGATGCAAAAAATAAGTGCAGAAAGTCAAAATCTATTCGGTTTTCGCTCTCGATGAGAAGCAAAGGCACTTAGGAAGTAGGTCGACTTACAGCAACTAGTCGCTGGCAAGGATGTCTCTGATTAAGGTTGTTTAGAAACAAGCTGATGGCGAGTTTGACTTCTTAACATCTACCAGGATCGATTCGTAATCACGACGAATGGAAGAGTCCTATGGAGACCGGTAACACTATTGGCGGAATCGAACCCTGGACCCTTTTTATGAGAGCAACGCTACTTTTTACCGCACCAGAAAAGCATAAAAAATTATAGGAAATCACGCCGGGGAAAAACGGAGGATTGAGATGCCCAAAAAAAGCAAGAAAAAAAATACATGTCGGGCGAAAAATGAATATTATTATGGAAGGACTGTAGGAATATTTCGAGGCAAAAAGTTAACCTTTTGAGCGAAGCGATGCGATCTCATTTCCTGGACAGCGCCTTTTACTTTGTTCCTCGTCCTCATCCTCGTCGCTGCTGACAATTGCACGAGCTGATCGGCGTTGCTGCTGCTGCTGTACTGGCTGCCACTGCAAAACCTCAATAAATAACAACGCGCACCAGAATAGCCGGTGCGATCATGCGTTTTGAGCAATTCAGCCCACCGAACGATTGCCTATTAATGTTTTTCACTGCTTTGTATTTTAGTCTATGCAAAAATAGTTCAAACACTGAAAAATAGAAATTTCACGCATCAGCGCATGAAAGCTGAATTCGAAACCTTGAAAGGTGAATATCTTTCCATGACTCCCGAGTTAATAGTTTACCCACCAAAATTTTCACGAGGCCGTATATGACACTCAAGAGCGCGGGACCGCTGAATTTGAATGGGCAATGTTGAGTGTCGGCAGAGGGTCATTACCTCAAAATTTCAGCCTCCTAGACTCCGTGGTTCCCAAGATATTAACTTACCCGTGAAAAACTTTCACGAGGCCGTACGTGTTACCCGTGGGTAAGGGAAGGCTGAATTTGAATTTCCGCGTCACCCGTTGGCGAGGAACACTATACGAAAATTTCAGCCGCATAGCTTTTGTGGTTCCCGAGTTGAAAGTGCGGGACAAAATGTGGGACACACACACAAACACACACACAGATAACCCCGTGACAATATGCGTTTTGTAACGCTGTTACACAGCACAAAACGCATAAAAATCACTCAAAAACAACTGCACTACCTCCGCTGTTTCTTAAGAAGCGTTAAAACGCTTCCAATAACATTCCATTTTTTGCATCCTGGAAATTCGCCCTGCAATCTCTGCTTTTCGATACAGCACGCGAGCCTGCCCGGGTTGCCCAACGCAGCATCCAGGACAGGCTGGATTCTCCAGAGCAGCATCCGGGGTAATCTGGCAGCCCGGAAGCAGCTGCATGCTCTTCCCCCTCTTCCACTCTTATGCTAACAGCAAAGAAAGAATAATTTTCCCCGTAAAAAACTTTCACAGGGACGTACATATTATCCGCGAGTACGGAGAGACTGAATTTAAATTTGCGGAATCACACGTCGATGGGGAACGTTCCCTTAAATTTTCAGCTTCCTAGCTTTTGTGGTTCCCGAGTTGAAAGTTGCGGAC